AGAAACTTTTTTTTTTTACCAAAAAAAAACCCCCCAACCCAACAACAAAACTGAACAAAAACAACAACAAAAAAAAGGAATTTCATGGACTTGAGCACGAGTGGAAGTGGTGTGGCAGATGGAGAGGAGCAGAGGTGGCCACGGGGCTTGTAGAGCATCTTCGTGGTCCTGGCAAGGGTCTGGACCCGTGTGTAGGGTCTGGATCTGTGCGTGGCTCCCAAAAGCACCCGCTGTGCAGCCGGGGGGGCTCAGAGGGGCCCGAGCCCCGGGGGGACGATGCCCTGAGTGGGCGAAGAGCCATAGAGATGATCAGCAGATCACCCCTTCCCCACCTCCCCCTGGCACCACCAGACACCCCAGCGGTGTCACCTCCTTCGCTGGACACTCCCTGGTTTGGAAATACAAAAAAAAAAAAAGGCCTTTCCCTTTGGGATACATGTTCTTTTTGTTTGTTTGTTTTCTTTTTTTGTTTGTTTGTTTGGTTTTGTTTCTTTTGAGCACTCAGATAATCAGCCACAAACCTGCCCCCAGCACCCTCCTGCTGCCCTGCTGTTTGCTCGCTGCCTGGGCTGGAGGGAAGCAGAGGGGAAAAAGGGGGACTTTGGGCAAAAGAAACGGGAACCAGGATGGGGACACATCTCTTCATGGAGGATGGGGACACATCTCTTCATGGGCATCCCTCTGGGGCTGCCCGGCTTCTGCCGGCGTTGATTGGATCCTGTATCCCCCAAGCGTAATCTCAAGGCTATTTTGTAAACTTTTGTGGATAATGTTAAAAAAAAAAAAAAGAGGGGAAAATGGGAAGAAAGGGGGAGGGGAGGAAGTTCTTGCTTTACCGTTTTTGTATAAAAAAAAAAAAAAAGAAAAAAAAAAGGAATTCCTTTGTATACTGGTGTGCAGCTGGAGGAGTCCACGGTAGGAACCCCTTGCTTCAGATGCAGGGGGGGTCTGGGGGGGCTCTGCAGGACAGTCCCTGTGTGAGAGCAGCCCCTGCAGCCTGTGTGTGTGCGGGAGGTGAAGGAGGGGGGTGCAAAACCTGCTCTTCTCTGATCAGCAATTAAAATGGCAAATGAAAGGGAGTGGTGGGCAGCTCCAGCCCCCCCTGGGGTGATGCCAAACCAAGGGATGCAGAGAACCCAAACCAGTGGGGCTGAAGGAGCCCTTGGTGATGTTCCCCTCCCTGGTACACGTGAACAAGCCACCCCTTTGCTTGGGGCTAAACCCAACCCCTGTCTGTCAGAGGGGGGGCTTTGGGGTCGGTTTTACCCCAATCCTAAACAAAATGTGCCTTTACCGACACACGGCCCCTGGAGATCCCAATGCAGCCCATGGTGGGGGAATGGGTGCATCCAGAGCTTGGCCAGCACCTCGTTGTGGGGTCCTTCAGTGTGAAAGATCAAGACAAACCATCCCAGCCAGACCTGGGGGGCTGCTGTACCCCAGGAGATGACATCTCCCCGCTCTCATGGTGTCCCCTCGGGCACAGCCGGTTGTGCTGCCGCGGTTGCTGCCGGCGCAGACGGGGCTTTGAAGGGACCAGAAAAACCTGGAGACAGTAAAAAGCTGTTTGAACTTCTCATTCATCTTCCAGCCGAGGCCCAGTGGTTCCCCGCTGGATAAGCTCCGCTCAGCCGGGCACAGGAAACAGCTCCCAGGCCTTGGCTGGGTAATTATCACAGAAGATAATGGCTCTCCCCGGCCCCCGTTCCACACACCAGCATGTGTTTGGGACCCAGAGAGATTTCTGCCCCCCCCTCCCCGAGCACAAGCTGCAAGTTAAGTGCAGGCTTAAATACTTTGCTGAATTAAAATCACCCTCCGCTTTGGGTATTTGGCTGCGGAGCCCCAGCCCCTGCTCCGCTCAGGTGTGCAGCCGTCTGTGTTTGCAGACTCAGGGCCTGAAACAGCCTTTTTGGACAGCAGGGGGAAACTCAAATGTGAAATATATTCCCCGTGGTTCGGCTAAATCGGTGCTGGAACGTGTTAGAAATAGTGGCTGAGAAATTTCCCTGGTGTAAACACATCCCTGATTTAATCCTGCTCCTCCCTGAGACGGTGCTGAGCGACGGCGGCTCCTGTCCCCTCCGCTGTCCCACTCCCTGCCAGAAATATCACCAGTTCCCAAACAAAGCAAAGACCGAGCCCCTTAAAAGCTGTAATTTTGTAGGTGTAAGAGGAAAAAGCCTCTTTGATGAGGGTTCTGGTGGCTGCTGCTGCCACGCTGGGACGGGAGGTGAAGGTTCAGCCGCTGCCTGAATTGTTGGCTCTGATCTAAAAGCGATGCCTGGAAACCAGAGATTAAAATGCAAGATACGTGCAATTAATTTGATTTCCTGTGAAACCCGAGTGACCCCAAGGTCCCTGCGACGGTGCTGAGCGACGGCGGGTCCTGTCCCCTCTGCTGTCCCACTCCCTGCCAGAAACATCACCAGTTCCCAAACAAAGCAAAGACCGAGCCCCTTAAAAGCTGTAATTTTGTAGGTGTAAGAGGAAAAAGCCTCTTTGATGAGGGTTCTGGTGGCTGCTGCTGCCACGCTGGGACGGGAGGTGAAGGTTCAGCCGCTGCCTGAATTGTTGGCTCTGATCTAAAAGCGATGCCTGGAAACCAGAGATTAAAATGCAAGATACGTGCAATTAATTTGATTTCCTGTGAAACCCGAGTGACCCCAAGAGCTCTCTGCAGTGAGAGGGAGCCACCCGCCGCCGCAGGACTTGTTGCCCAGTGAGTCCCTCGCCCTGAGTGTCCCCAGGGGGGTGACAGCCAGCCCAGGCTCCCCACAGGACCAGGGGTGGCCAAATCATCCCCCTAAAATGCCCCAAACCAGGAGATTTGCTGTGACTCGATCCCATCCCCTCCCTCCCTCCGAGGACATCAGCTGAGAGCACCGTAGGTGCCTCATATACTATTTATTTTTGTTGTTATTTATTATTAAAGCCCCAACCAGCCTTTCCAGGGCACCACGCTGGAGGAAATGCTCCATAAACTGGTCCCTGTCCCCCGTGTCCAAGCCTGGATGGGACACACTGGGGGGGCAGAGCCTCACCAGCATCATTCAGGGGGACAATGGTCCCTTCTGCTCGAGATCCTTCCTCCTACAGAGGCCACAACCCAGGGTGTCCAAGGCAGGCAGCTGAATTATAGCTGAATTATAGCTGAATTACAGCCCGTCCTCACTGGGTATGACACCAGAGCCTTGTTCCAGCCCCACAGCACGTTTCACCCTCCCCATCGTGCAGCTTCCAGCCCCAGATACTGCCTGCCCCACGGCACCAAGCCCCCCACGCAGGGGAGTGATGCTCACACTCCTCATTGGGAGGGATCTGGCCAAAACTGAACCTCACCAGGGGAATTATAGCAGCTGCAAAGCTTTACAGGGTGCGTGATCGGCGTTTGCAGCTCATCCTCAGTCTGGATTCTGCACCTGGGGAGGCTTTGGGAGGTGCATGAGGGTTATTTTGGGGGGCCAGGCAGGGGGAAGGGGGCTTTTTAGGCACAGCAAAAGCTAATTGCACCTGAAGTTCCCTTCAAGAGGGAGCACTCCCTGGGCACCCAGGGCTTGCTCTGCGGGGGCTCGTCTGCCAGCCCAGGATGTGGCAGGAACCAGAGATGCTTCAGAAAAGGGGGAGAGTAGTGTCTGACCCAGGATGCTCTCGACAAGAGGGCTCTTCAATCTGCCCCCCAAAGGCACAGCAAGAGGGCAACTTGAATTAGAAACACGATGTGGTTTTTTATAAGCAGCAGCAGTAATTAACTCCTGAGGCAGCTTTACGGGTGGCAGGGGACAGCGGTCTCCTCTCCCGAGCACCAGGCAGGGATGCAGCTCTCCACGAGATGCTCCAGTGAAGAGGTTCCCACATTCCTCAAGCCCAAGAGACTCTCACCAACACCTGAGAGCCCTCCTGGCCAAAGCCAGCCCAGCCCAGGGGTGCTGGGGGCTCAGAGGGACCAGGGGGGAGGGTGAGCAGGGGTGGCCTTCATCCCCTCCTGGTCCTCCCCCTCCAGCCATCAAAGCTTGTTGGGAAGTGCTTCTCCTCCAGCCTGTCCCATCAGGTGTCACCCCCGGGCACTGGTTTCCTCCCCATAAACGGCTCTTCCTTAGCTGTTCGTCAGGTTTAATTTCTCCTTTGCTTTTTTATTACTTTCAAGGATAGCAGTAAAAGTCCTCATTTCTGCTTCTTCTGCCCTCTCTCCCTCCTTCCTCCTCTTCCTCACTGCAAACAGCACCGTGGATCTCATACGCAACCGAGCTTCTCTCCACAAAAGCCAGCCCCCTTCACTTTGAGGACAGCAGTAAAAGTCCTCATTTCTGCTTCTTCTGCCCTCTCTCCCTCCTTCCTCCTCTTCCTCACTGCAAACAGCATCGTGGATCTCATACGCAACCAAGCTTCTCTCCACAAAAGCCAGCCGAGAACATCACGTGCCAGGCTCTATTTTAAGCACCCAATAAAACTGATTTTTGGAGCCTCTCCATCATTGTGTCCTTCTTTCCCAGAGCCCTTGTACCTGCCCCAGCAGCGGAGACGGCCTGGTCCCAGTGCCCATCACCGGGCCTCGGGGCTGCCTGCTTCCCCCTGCCCGCACCAAAGGGCCTCAGGCTGGCGGGTGACAGGCACCTATTTATTAGTTCGTTAGGGAATCAAAGCAGGTCTCTGCTCCTCTCTCCAGCACTTCCTCCGAAAATGATTTAAATGAAAACACGCGACCTCCCTGGGAGGTGTCAGCGCCGTGATCCATATGCACGATCCATCTGCATGATGCTGTTACGACGAAGCAGGTGCCGCTTTCAAAACCTTCAGGAAAAACCAACCTGCCAATCTCCAGGGCGAGCAGCTTGAGCAGTTCTCCTGCCACGTGCCTCACACTTCTCCCCATCCCTCCTTCACCCCCGCTGGGGAAACTGAGGCAGGA